CAGTAGGTTTCATTTTTTTATCAAATGGTACACTTCATGATGAATCCAACAAAATTTGGTTTACTCAATTTGGACATTCGTAGCTCTAGTTATGAATTTTTGAATTTTGCAACAAAATATAGAAAAATAAATAAAGACAAAATTCAAAACCCTAACTGACAGCTGGGCCCCGCGGGTCAACGGGCCCACGTGTCAGCGAGACAGGAGTAGAGGACGGTGCTGACCGGCCAGAGCTCGGCGATGGCGAGCTCACCGGCGGTAGTGTCTTCACCATCGTGACCTGCTCGACATCCTACGTCGACTGGTGCCCTTAGTTGGCTCAGCGGTTCACCGGAGCTACCTCGCCGACGATAATGGCGGCACGACGGAGGTGCTCGGCGGTGGGATCATCGTCTCCGGCAATGACACGGCTAGGTAAGCGACGTAACATCAGGGAGTCCTAGCGAAGCTCTAGGGATAGGTCTAGGGCACGGTGAAGCGGCGGTGTGCTCCGGCCACGTGCATGGCGGCACGGTGGTGCAAGCGTGGCGACGGCGAGGTCACCATTCCGATAAGATGTCGGTCAGTGATGGGTCTCCGTCTTCGGGGATGGTGCTAGGGTTCATGGCAATGCGGCAACACGCGCTAGAGGGGGACGACAGGGTCTAGTCAGGGATGGCCACGGTGAGCTTGAGCTCACAGCCATGGTGGACACGCACGGTGTGGTAGCACGTTCCCACGCGGTGGCGGCGGTAGCGGTTAAACCGACTACGACGTGAGCTATTAGGACCTAAGACGACGATGGACCAGGGGAGAAAGAGGTAGGAGGAGCAGCGGATAGGGCTAGACAGTGTGGGCTTAGAGCTCAGCGGCGCTCCGTGGCCATGGCAGCGACGGCGACGTGAAATGCCGCTTTACCTGGGCTCGAACAGTGGCAATGGTGGGTCGGGGAGGTAGAGCGGCTCATGGCGAAACTATGCACATGATGGATTGGATGGAGGTGCGGCGGTGATGGCGCTCGAGTGCAGCAGAGCTCGGCGGCGATGGCGCTGCTCGGCTGCGAGAGAGAGAGAGAGCGAGAGCGAGGCGAGGCAGAGAGAGTGAGCGAGCGCGACGCGGCGCCTTCTTCTACCCGCTCCGGCCTGACGCGCGGGGCTGGTGCTGGCGTACGGATGCCAAGTGGTGGCCACGGCCTGTGGCCGGTCGTCCACGACGGCTGCTGCCCTGACCAGTTCAGACGGGTGAAGGAGCCGACTGATAGAGCGACTTCATGCACCTGTAACTCCTAATCCGTGGCGATTTAGTGAAAATTGTATTAGTGAAAGTTGTAGAGCTATGTGAGATCTCTAAGTTTGCTTAAATGAGCTTGGTCTAATTCATCATGGTTTTCAAATGCAAAGCTCTAAAGTGTGCTACTTTGAAACTATAATCAGCTAATGACTTGGCAAAATTTTCTAAGTTTGAAAACAACATTTCATTGCTACTTTGGAGCTATTTTTTACTATGTTAGGCACTGAATTAGCTCATGACCCTTAAATAAAGTTTGTTACCCATAAGATAAGCTACAACTTTTATTAAGGGTGCACTTCCATGCAAACAATCTAAGCTACTGTTCAACTTTGGTCAAACTAGCATCATGAAAAATGTCATTTTGAGTGAACTAGGACTTAGAAGCAAAATTGGCCCATATCATGAATACAAACATTGTTCGATTTACCCTCCAGGATATATCTAAGGTGTTTTTGTAACCCCACAACCATCTCTTGCATTGGTCACACATTATCACAAGCATATGCATGTATATAATCAACATCACATGTGATACATATAAAGAATGAGATGAAATTTCATATGCTCATGTTCATGAATGAATGGATGATGCTTGTGCTCATGAAATGCAAGTGCCAAATGCAATGCTTAACACTAGGGTGTTACAGAGCCTCCGGGGATCAGAGTATAAAAATGGTCTACAGCGGAATATAACGAATGAAAATTAGATCAAATTCGATACCAGCCTTCCTGGGGCGTATGTTGACCTATCCAAACTAGTGGTTGCACCTAGTTGTTGGAGGAAATTGAGACGAAACCCTAGAAATGAATTCAAATCACAAGTAATAGCAACAACAAGCACAATCACAAGAGACACGAGGATTTATCTCGTGGTTCAACTCACCACAAAGGCATGTCTACATTCATGTTGTTTAGGTTAGCCACAAAGGCTATGGAGTCTCTTTCAACTCGCTCCTCTTCTCCAACCTATCACCAGTGCAATAGGTTAGAGGGTTTCACTAAGTCACAAAGGGTAATATAAACGTCCTGGTGCTCGTCCATAAAGGATTGGGAGCTCCCGGGCGTCCGCTAGCCATCTAGGAGCCAAGCTCCAAGAGTAACGAACACACCAAGCGGCTAGGGTTTCACCAAGTGCAGAAGAACGAAGGAGAAGGATCTTCTCGAGCTTTCTCACACTCTCTAATGCCAAATCCCTCAAGGAATCACAAAGATTTGAGCAAGGGAGTTGAGAGCACCAAGCTGAGAGATAGAGAGCTTCACTTTGTGTCTGAGTAAATGAGGAAGAAGATGACCGTTGGGGGCGAAGGGGAAAGGTATAAATACCCTCCCCGAGCACTCACAAAACGGTCTGGTCAGACAGACCCCGGAGCCCCCGCGTATACACGCGGAGGTTCCGCGACTGGGCGCGGAGGTTCCACGCAGGTCAGAGCAGATAACAGTTTTGCTCGGCTGGCTTTTTGTGGCTGGGATTAATTGATATGTAGATGGTGTTTTGAGCACTTGGTTCCATCCAGCACACTATTAGTATCCCCTTGATAGTACAACTCGTTCTATAACTCAATTTGAGCCTTTGCAAGCCATCAATTCGAGTTGGGAGGTCTCGTCCTTTGTTTCTTTGCACCCATGACTAATGATACGCTGTCAAATACTTAGAGAAACCATTAGTCCTTTAATTATGTCATCAACATCATCACCAAAACCCACTTAGGGCTTGATTGCACTTACAGGTACGAGGGGAGCTAAACACCCTCTTTGTACAATGAATATCTTTTATGGACATGAAATTTCACCATATAATTTAACAAAATTAATTAAGTTATATCTTTGATAATTCATTGTACTTCGCTCCCCTCATCTCCTTTTTTAACTCTGCCCTGACCGGGGGTCCTGTTTCTCTTTCTAGCACCACTATACATTGTTGAGAGCTTGATAAGGAAAAGCTAACCGGCGATGGTTAAGCAAATATATTAAGTTCACGCTCATATTTTAACTAAAAATGTGAAGACATTTACCTAATAATATATCAAAATGCCCAAGTAACAGCTTCATTCTTCTCATGACAATTTTATTAACTGAGTTTGGAACTTTGACATATTTAACTTCCAATCAGTCGAAAACTGGAAACTAATATAGATGGGAAAATAGAAGACAAGGAGATCAAGTAGCACGTGAGCACGTGACATATTTAAAATTGGTGACGGTATTCCATATAAAAATGCCCAACCGTTGGGCTGTTGGAATGACCAAACTCTAAAAATATGCCAAAATTTTTTTGAACGAAAAAAATATGCCAAATTTCGAATGATATACAACATTGTGCCCCTCAATAGAATTTAGTTGGACAAGTTCAGACGAAACTAATAGGTGCCGTTTGGATACTGGGTTATAGGGCTCCGCAAGCCTCGCTTGCACGCGCGCTCCTGGAACCGCCGTTGCCTTCCATGCGCGCGGGCCTCGGAGTCGGAGCCGTCGTCGCCTTGCTTGCGCGCCGGCAACCGGCCACCGAAGCTTCGCTCTCACGCGCGACCTGCTGCTTGCTGAAAAATACGAAGCGCGGCAGCGAGAGAGGGAAGCAAGAGAGGCGCGGTGGCCGGCGGGGCGCGGCGGGCTGCTGGAGCCACCGCTGGCCTCGCGCGCGGACCGCTCAGAGCCACTGCTCCCCACTGGCTTCTGCAAGACCGCAACTGCCATGGGCATCTCGAGTTAGAGCTGCTGCTCCCCTTACTCGATTCTGCAGTGCGGCGCGCGTCGGAGCTGCTGCTTCGTCGATGCTTGGGGACCAGGAGCAGGATGCAGGGACCACGGGGAGAGGACGCCGAGAAACCAGCCGAGGCAGCCAGGATGAGACATGGCACCTTCCCGAGCTTCAAGAACAACAGCAGCCATGCGGTGGGGATAAGATTTCCTTTTTATTTTTTTTAAAGCCCATGGGCCCCACTAAACCCAACCCCAAAATTAGCTAGGGCTCTGTTTAGTTCCCTCCCAAAATGCCAAATTTTTTAAGATTTCTCGTTAGCTTGAATCTTTGGACGCATGTATGAAGCATTAAATATAAATAAAAAATAAAACTAATTACACAGTTTAGACGAAATCCACGAGACGAATCTTTTAAGTCTAATTAGATTATGATTGAACACTAATTATCAAATAACAACGAAAACGCTACAGTGTCATTTTGTCAAAAATTTCGACAACCAAACTGGCCCTAACCCAAACAACCGATTGGCTTTAAATCTTCCATAACCCATACCTCCATTTCCCACGTAATTTCCGTTTCCCTTTCCCACTCACCATCCAAACGTCACCGTAAGGAAACAAAAGGGGGACATTGCTACCAGAAGTCCGGAACTGCTATTTCAACAGTGTTTGCTGCTATAGCTGCTGGCTGCTGTCTTGCCTACCTCAACAGTGTGCGCTAGCCCTTGTTTAGTTGGGAGAATTTGGATTTTGGGGTTATTGTAGCACGTTCGTTTTTATTTGGCAAATAGTGTTTAAATATGGACTAATTAGGCTCAAAACGTTCGTCTCGCAATTTCCCACCAAACTATGCAATTAGTTTTTATTTTCGTCTATATTTAATACTCCATGCATGGACCGCAAACATTCAATGTGACAAGTACTATAACAACTTTTTGGATTTTGGAGTCCAACTAAACAAGGCGCTAGTCATTTTTTGCAGCAGCAGCCAGCCTTCCGAACGGTCTGATCTCGCAACAAGACAGAGAACCACCATGGGCAAATTTGCATGTGCAAAATCTGTTCTGGTCAAAAAAAAAAATTCAAGCTAGTCAAAGAGCAAACTCGGTCCTGGCCTGGCGTGTAAGACTGAGCGAGACCACGTGTCGATCCTCCATTGATCCTAGAAGGCTATACCAATCACTCACTCTCTCTCCTCTCTCATTTCTCTTCCCGCCTTGTCATCAATAATTGCTCTCGCTCCACCGCGACCTCCCCTCCCTCTCCCACAGCTCCTAGCGATTCCGCCTCCAGAACCTTCCCCCACCTCGCTAAACCCTAGCCCCCGTGCCTTCCGGTGCCACCGCCGCCGCCGCCGCTGCCGCCGGAGCATGGACGAGCGGCTACCGCTGCCGAACGTCTCCGGGCTCCTCCTCGACACCAGTGGGCTACCTAGCGAGCCCCGTCCTTCTTCCTCCCGTCCCCGCCCCCCAAATCTCTCTGATCTGATCTCACGCGTTCCGCTTTGCTCTTTTGCGCTGATGATCAGGACCAGTGGCCTCCGGAGGCGACCCTCCTCATCGCGGCCTACGACGGCAATGTCTGCCGCCTCAAGGGTAAGCACTAAGCACACGCCTTTTTCTGCCTCGTTCGTCTCGTCGCGACTTCTTTCGTCCGCGGTCGATTTGGTTAGCTAGGGGTGTACCCCTTCCCTTTTGCTTTGGTGTCTGGGAAAAAAGCTCATTCTTTTTGTGATTTTGGGATCCTGCCGCGCGTGCGGCGTGGAATTTGATTGAGACGAGCGCTCGTGTCTCGGATTTTAGTTCGTTATATCAACAGCTTTCTGTCATGATTTCCCGATTTTCTCACTATACTGCTGTTTCCGATCGTTTCATGCAGAGATCGCGAGGGGCCTGGACGTCAACGGGAGGGGGGTCAATTCGGTGCTACGTCAAACAACCTTCAAGGGCATGGACGCCCTCCACGCCGCGGCTGGTGGGAAGGGCAAGCTACCAATCTGCCGATACCTCGTCGAGGAGGCCAAGATGGACATCAACAAGCGTGATACCTTTAAAGGTACAAACTAGCTTAGTCCAGACTCCAGAGTCATCCCCACTTTCCTCTTCTCCGATCCCTCCTCCATTAATTGCTCTCTTCAAACCTATAATTAATGCATAATTGATTGATTAATTTAGTAAGTTTGATCCATTTACGTATCCTGTGTTGGCTTCAGTTGACAAAATTGTGTGCCTTTGTTCGCAGGTAAGAGCATGACACCACTACAGCATGCTGTGTTCAGTGGGAACCTCCCTATCGTGAGATTTCTTCTTGATCATGGTGCTGATCTCCATCAAGAAGGCAGTCTAGGAGGTCATGAGTCATGACAGATGCACTGCTCTTCATACAGCTGCAGAGAAAGGTATAAACACCAAACGAACTTCACTCATTTATTCTTTCTTCTCCCAGGACATGTGTTGGTTTCCTGTTCAGTCTTTACTGTTACCTTTTTCCTCTTTGTGGTGGATATAAATGGAACATATATAGGATAGGATATTACTTTGGAGAGTCTGTAGTTGAAGAATCTATACACAAACACAACTGCAGACAATGACATCATATTCAAGAGAAAACTAAGCAAGCTAAAAAATTCTCTACTTCTTATTTTATAGCTTTCTGTTGTGTCTAATGTTGCTATAAACTCAAGCTATCCTGGTTTTATAAACTTTTTGTTCCCAACTGCTATGTCGCGATGTGTTATGTGGAGTATACCATCTTTCAATTTTTCCCCATTAAACTTTGTTACCTACTTACCTGCCCTCACATTTAAAATTCATGTGCTTATTACATCTGGAATTGTTGCTGTTAGTCTTTGTGGACCTTGTATTTAGTATCTGTTTGTGCCTTTCTGGATCTTCTACCAGGATCAGTTTCATACTTTATTTTGTGTTCAGCCAATGAAACTGATGGATTGTCCAAAAGTAATTGTTTCATTTCTTATGAACTGTTGATTGCCATCGAGATTTCCCTGTATGCTCTTCAGCGAAGAGTGAAATAGCAATTTTGTCTTTTTTTTACCTGTTGAAATTTTGTTGCTGAAGATTGGTTTATTGTTATAGTTCTGCAGTCCACTTTACTATGACCTTACTTTTTCATCTCTGTTTCTTCAGGACGGTGTGAAATAGCAAAACTTCTGCTTCCTAGGGGAGCTTACGTTGATGGCAAATCATGCCATATGACACCACTACAGCTTGCGGTTCATGGAGGGCATGATAGTACTCTGAAGATTTTGTTGGACCACAATGCAGATGTACTCTGAAGGTTATATCCTTTTATTTTAATCTATTTATAGATGAGCTGAGTTTATTTTACCGTTAACGCATTGGGGCTTGACATTCCATAATTTTGTTCCTACTTCCTACCTTTACATGCTTAGTTCCTCGTAGCTGTTGACGTGTGACCACTTGGGCATATGTGAGCAGTGGCCCCACAAAACAACAGTTCCTGAGAAATCAAAGGCAACGCATATATCAGCTATACTAAAATAACGGTTTCCGTGATCTATTCTATACTGTTTAATTTACCTTCTGTTTGTTGGACCCGGGATCTCCCGCACGGAGCCGATCGATCACCGGCGTTCTCGCTCACTATGGCTAGGGGTAGAAGAAGTGAGGGAGAACAAAGCGTATACACACAGCACAAGCAGCAGCGTTGGTCGGAGCTCTGCAGAGGAGATGATAAAACTGAACTCTCTCACTTTATTGAGTTGCAGTGGGAAGCTCTATATACAACTCTTCGCGACATGTCAGGCTGCCATGCTGCTACAGACATGCCAAAGCTGCCATGTTGCTGCATAAATGACTAGATGTGACACATAGGGTCTGACTTTAGCGTCTGCGCTGCGCTGCTTTGTGGCTCTGATATGGCGGGGAGTCTTTCGCCTTTGCCCGCCGCTGCCATACAAGCTGCAACATAGGGAGCCCTTTCGGCGCTGCCCCCTGCAGCGTCAGATAGGGAGAGTAGCATATTACTTTACAATTCTTTCCCTAATCCTGCTGCTAACCCTAGAACCTCCACCATGCCGATCATCTTCTTCCGCTCCATGAACCGAAGATGGTCGAGCGGCTTGGTGAGGACGTCCGCGAGTTGCCGACTAGTTTCGACGAACTCGATGACGATCTGCCCTCCATCGACACAGTCCCTAAGGAAGTGAAACTTGACATCGATTTCCTTGCTCCGGTCATGGAGAACCGGATTCTTCACGAGGGCGATGGCGGGCTAGTTGTCCACCATCAGTGTTGGTGGGTGTCGGATACCAGAAAATGGGGTACCCCAAGCAAAGATCGAAAAACTGCTTAGACCCTAAAAACAGAACCAACGGAATAAACAAACGAGGTCTCGGCCGAAATCTCCGATTCGCCCGAGACCCCGTCGCCGAGCCCCAGTGGAAGCGAACGATTCTCCGACTCGCCCGAGACCGCCTCGCCGAGGCCCCCTCGTCGAGGCCCCTCGCCCGGGGCCTCGGAAGAAGTGCCGATTCTCCGATTCACGCGAGGCCGACTCGGCACCAGCCCCGTGACCGCCTCTTCGACCAGACTGCTCTGACCGAACGTCGCATCCAAGCGCCCAACCACTCCGACAGACGCGACGATGGCACAAGATAAATAAGTGACCGACTACACGCCGATCGCGTCAACCTCTCGCCATCTGCGACGGCGCAGAGCGAGGGTTACCGACCACTGTCTTTGCCTAACTCGCACCAGGACGACATAACGTGGGGAGTCGAGCGTTTTTCAGTAGCCTCGGAATCAGCGGACCGACCACTCCATCTCGCCCGAGCCCCCTCGACAGGGCCTCGGAGTCATTGATCTTACTCCGCCTCGCCCGAGCCCCCCCCGGTAGGGCCGTGGACGAATTGTCCCGCAACCTCGTCGCCTCCGCCTCAAAAAGTCTCTCCGGCGGTCGTCGCATCCGATTACGCGCTCGTTGCACCCGCCACGTAAGCCACGATCGGTAGTGCGCTGCAACAGGAGCGATGGGACACCGGTCGATCACCTTTTCCACCATCCCCATCGACAATACAGTACCAGATCCCAGAGGCGCCGTCTCGCACTATTCCGCCTGATGGCCGCTAAGACCCGCATCTGCACCTGGGTCACTTCTCAGGCCTCGGCACGGCAGGCCTCGGCACGACAGGCCTCGGCACGACCGGCTACGATGGCCGCCGAGCCTCTGCAATCCACCAAGTCAATAAATGCGCAGCATGTTACTTGCAGTGGAGACCATACCGATTAGACATCTACGGGAACTCCCACGACAACGCCATGCTGCTCCAGGAGTAAATACGTCATCGAATAGTCCTTGCTCCACGTGTAGCTCTCTTATGTACTCCTGGTTTTCTCCTTGCGGCTATAAAAGGAGGCAGCCAGGACCGTCCCCAAGGATGGCGGATAGAGTCACGAATACTCGCACGAACAACACGCCTCACTCTGTAATTCATATCACCTCCCCTCACAGAGACCTGGGACGAACTCCCTCTCTCGCCTAGCTTGTAACCCCCTACTACGAGCACCCCGGTGCAAGGAATACAAAAACATCTTCTCAGACTGGACGTAGGGCATCCATTTGCCCGAACCAGTATAAACCTTGTGTCTCTTTGCATCACCATCCGGAATTGGGAGCACGCGAAGCACAAATTCACTAGTCGGTTAAGGACCCCGGTTCAAACACCGGCAGATTGGCGTGCTGTAGGGCCCTCTGCGTGTCGACTTAGTCATCCCACCAGATTCCGGATGGCGAGATCCGTGTATGCGATCGCTTGCGCTCGGGGACGATCGTGCGGTTCGGGAGCCTAGAATTCATGTCTCTAGGGCACGAGTACGACATGGTACTCCTCTCACCCAGAGCGCCATCAACCGACGACGATGTCATGCACCGGCAGCCCACGCGCAGACGGCACCCGGGCCGCCGCTCCCATCAAGCTCGCCAAACGCCGCGTGGGCGAGTCCACCCTAACACCGCGCAAGTACAGAACGCCGATCTGTGCTCCACCGGAATCCCATACCCCGCTGGCCGCATTGTGGTCCTGCTGACGGGACCCGCCCAACTTAAGCCTCGGCGGGGAAAAGGGCGGTGGCACACAGCGATGCCCCATCATTAAGCTCTGTCCCGCCTCCTCCCGAGGAGCCAGCTCTGGCGGAGCCGAGCCTGGCGACGGCGCCATCCCCGTACCCTTTCGGGCTGACCAATGTCGCCGCCTCCTACGCCACCGCCCTTGTCTCCATTCATCAACGTCATGCCCATAACCCCATAGTCACAACTCCAATCCACCCCCACTCTGACTCCTCGGAGGAGGACGAGGCGTGGGTTGGAGCAGACATCTCCGGGCTTCGCGAACCTGAGGCGATGCGCCGCTTCATGATCGCGAGCGACTACTGCTTCGGCTACTCCGATTCCGACGGCGAGGACGCTTACGACCCGACTCGTGAGTGTTTCCACATCGGACTCAGAATGCCGAGCACGGGCAACGATGGAGGAAGGGCAGCCAATGCCACACCACCACGCACGGGGTCCCCACCAGCGACGGCAGATGTCCCCACCCCCGAGCAACTTCGATGCATAGACCTAGAGCACCTCCGTGAGCTTCAAGCCAAGGTCAAGCAAGATCGACTCCTCCTGCAGCAGCTCCGAGCCACCCTCGAGCAAGAGCAGCGGGGGCGCGCGCAATGGCGGAACGGCCCGGCTGGGGGCTCGCGATGTCAACCGCTGCATTAACGATGATGAGGGGGGCGAGCAACCCCCTATCTTCAATCGTGCTAGCCAGAACATCGCTGCGGCGGCAATACTGGTCCGAGCGATGCCCGAGCCCTCTACCACGGAGGGGCAACGAGTCCACGGTGAACTCCGGGGCCTTCTCGAGACTGCCGCGGTGCAGCAGGCCGAAAGCTCCGCGTCTCGACGACGCGGGGACGCCTCAAAGCAGCCCTCGGTGCACGACCGCCTCAGGGCCCCCTCGGTGCACGACCGCCTCGACGACCAACGCGAGGCGCAAAACGGCCACCACGTGGACAGCAGACGACGGCGCCATGACCACCATGGGGCCGCCCGGGGCTACCAAGTGCACCGAGGCGGTCGCTATGACAGTGGGGAGGACCGCAGTCCTTCTCCCGGGCCGCCTGGCCCTAGAGTTTTCAGTAAGGCCATCCGCAGCGCCCGCTTCCCGGCCCGGTTTCGTCAACCAGCGAATCTCTCAAAGTATAGCGGCGAGACCAACCCCGAGCTATGGCTGGCCGACTACCGTCTGGCTTGTCAGCTAGGCGGGGCGGACGATGACCTGCTCGTCATCCGCAACCTCCCCCTATTCCTATCAGACTCAGAGCGAGCCTGGCTCGAACACCTTCCTCCTATGCAAATCCACGACTGGCGCGACTTGGTAAAGGTCTTCGTCGGGAATTTCCAGGGCACCTACGCGCGCCCCGGGAACTCCTGGGACCTCAAGAGTTGCCGCCAGAGGCCGGACGAGTCTGTCCGAGACTTCATCCGACGTTTCTCCAAGCAATGCACCGAATTGCCCAGCATCGGTGACTCAGAAATCGTCCAGGCATTCCTCTCCGGCACCACCTATCGAGACCTGGTCCGAGAATTAGGCTGGAGCGTACCGACCATGGTGTCCGCACTCCTCGACATCGCCACTAGCTTCGCCTCTGGTGAAGAGGCCGTCGGGGCCATCTTCCCCAACAACGACTCCAAGGGGAAGAGGCGGGACGAGACCTCCGGGGCCTCGACGTCTCGCCCCCCCAGAAAAAGAAGGGACGCCAGGGGAAACAGGAGGTTCTCGAGGCTGGGCTCGTCGCGGCCGCGGACCGCAAGAATCCCCGAGGCCCAGGGCTCTTCGACAACATGCTTAAAAGACCCTGCCCATACCATCAGGGCCCGGTAAAGCACACCCTCGAGGAGTGCACCATGCTCCGGCGATACTACGCCAAGCTTGGGCTCCCCAACGACGATGCCAAGAAGAGGGGCCAGGACGACGGAGACAACAACAAGGGCGATGGGTTCCCTGAGGTACATAATGCCTTCATGATCTTCGGTGGGCCCTCGACGTGCCTCACGGCGCGACAGCGAAAAAGGGAACGCCGAGAGGTCTTCTCGGTTAAGGTGGCCACTCCCCGGTACCTCGATTGGTCTCAAGAGGCGATCACCTTCGATCGGGATGACCACCCCGATCATGTCCCTAACCCCGGCCAGTACCCGCTCATCGTTGACCCGATCATCGGGAACACCCGACTCACCAAGGTGTTGATGGACGGAGGCAGCGGC